AACATGAGGGAGGTGGTACTACAAACATTTCCAAAGTTATCATGCAGAAAGGAGAACAGATGGTGTGTCACAAATACTGACTGGTGTTTTTTTTTTTTTTTTAAATCTACCTTTTTCCTATTTACTTTTAAGCTAGAAGAACATTTAATTGAAAGCCTTTCAAAACAAAAACCAAGCTCTGCCACAAGTCCTTGTAGTATTTCTTCACATATTTCTCATTAAAAAAGTCAGCTGCTAAAAGCTTCTAAGAGTCAAGCTTCTACAAGCTTTAAAGAGCCAGCATACCTTCTAGCAATTCCACATCAAAGTATTCAATAAATAGGAATATATTAAATAATTTAAATTAAATAATTGGGAATATATACAAAGTTTAGTAACACAATGTTTTTTTTTAAAAGCAGTTTATTAGTGAAAAACTGGAAACCTAAAAATTCAACAGTAGTTTACAAGATGGCACACATAATGAAATAGCATGCAGCTATTAAAAAAGATGTAGAAATACATATGACACAGCAAGATAGTCATGGTACTGGTGAGTGAAAAAGTTACAAAACAGCATGTACAATTTGATCCCATTAAAAAATGTATAAACACAGAAGAGTCTGGAAGGCTAAATAACAGTGGTTTTCCCTGGATGGTGAAATTGTAGATAATTTCTTTACATTTTCCTTTTTTTTCTTTGTGGTACCGGGGATTGAACTCAGGATCGTTTATTCTACTGAACTATCTCTCCAGCCCTTGTAGATAATTTCTTAAACTATATTTTTTAAATCAACATAGCTAAGACTTTTACTATAAAAGAAGCATTAACAACTCTTAAAAAGTTCCTTTTTAAAGTAAGAGCAGAGCTTCGCAACCTGAGGCACAGGGATGTACATGTTAGTCAAATACTGCTCTAACAACTGTCAAGGTGTTTGATGTTAGTCACCAGTGAAAAGGCACTGCTTTGGGTGGAAATGTGTGTGGTAGTTGTGCATATCCTTCTGAGGACTGAAGGATCCTTATTCCTAGACTCCTTCCAGCAGCTTGCATCCACAGCAATATCCTTTGCTGACACTCGACATACTCTTATACCTCCATACTCACTCGTAGGAAGAGAGCAAGCAGTAAGGTTCCTTTCGTGGGTAAGTTACGTAAGGCAGGAATTTCAAGTGATGTCAGACTGTAGGCTTGAAGGTCAAAGGCAAGTTCTGTTACTCTGCAGTGGTTCTCAAACTTTAGATTGCAGCAGTCATTCAAAGGGTTTTTTAGTATTGACTACTGCTTAGCCCACCCACAGAGCTGCATTCAGGTCTTGGGGAAGGCTTAGGAATCTGCATTTGCATTCTTTTTTTTTTTTTTTCATTCACAAGTATTTAAGGATGTAGAAATCATTAGCTAGGTCTTGCACTAAGATGTGGGAATTTGCGATCAAAAGAATTACAGCCTGTATCTCAGGAAGCCTACATTCTAGTGATAGATATTACTAAACAAATAAATTATAAAAATAATTACAATTATTTGTGTTAGAACACAGTACAGAAGATTTTTGTTTTAAACACTTAAAAATCAATTACACGGAGAACAAAGACTAGTTCTAGAGGCCCTTGAAGAAAAAAGATGAGTATAAATAAAGAACAAATACTAGAAAATGATAAATAACATTTTAAACAACTTTCCAGGCAATACAGATATTGCTGCTCTGGGGTTTCAAACTCTGACAACCACTGCTCTACTGAGCAGACTTCCCAATCAGGATGAAGTGGGAGAAAGGACAGGTGTGGCTGAGAAATTCCCTTCCTGCCTTGAGTCACAGCAGGAGGTAGGAGCACTTGATCATCCAGAGGTGTTGGAGGCAACACTGGCCCAGAGATCATTTCTCCATTACAGCTCCTCCCTCTGGTCTGAAGTCCAACTACGGCAATATTATCCACTTTCAGAGATTCAGTAGAAAGGGATGAAACTTTTTCAGGCATCCTGTTGAGAAACTATGGAAATAAGCTGGGTCTCCCTGGGGTGACAAGCTTGTTGTTTCTTGTCCTGACCTCCAAACCTTTTTACACTCCAGTAGAGCTCATAAATTTTCTCCCAACACCAGCTTCCTTTTCTGGTGAAGGATAACAACAGACAGAGGATCTTGGCCCCAGATTCATTTCCAATGCTGTCCAAGACAGACATAAGCCCATATTTGGGACCTCATTTTCTATAGTCTGACTTTTTTTGATTAGCACCACATAAAAATTTCTAACACTATGACCTTATGGGTCAGATTAAGGATAAACGTAGTTACAATCCAATCAATTACTTTTTGTTGATAAAAGAACCTACAAATATTTCCAAGTTTATTACTCCATTCATATATGTACCCTCACATTAATGTACTTTTAGATGAAGCTCAGGGGCACAGAGTTTAAATAATTTTGAACTGTACCGTAAAAGAGGCTTCCCAAACTTTACTTCCGTGTGCAAGAATCGTTTTGGAGCATTACCTGAGTAGAATTAAACCTATGAATTCAAGCCAAAAGCAAAATAAAACAGCAATCACCATCCTGTCTAAGCAAACAAAACCCTGCTGAAATAAACAACAATCTTAAAACAATCTATGTATCTTGGATTTGTGGAAGACAAAGGCAAAAGAAGCCTTTGAACCTTTTAACATTATAGCATCCTGTAATGTATAGTAGCCTTCAATAATCAACATTCATCTGGTAGAAAGCGGAAGGTTCTGATAAAATGCATACTGACTGTGGTGAGGTTAAACCCAGATCTGGGTCTGACTTAAAGATGCTGGAGAACAGAACTGACAGGGAGTGAACAAAGTATGGATGTGAGAGGCTTCTCTTGTACACAGCCAGCTACGTAGTCTGGAGAGGTCCAGGCTAATAAGGGGAAACTGATATTTAGAGAGAATGTGTTTACTACATGCCAAGATTTTCCCTAAAAACAAAACAAAACAAAACAAAAAAAAACTTAACACAACATTTGCTCTATTATCTCGCAACAATCCATGTTGATATAATTAGCTCCATTTCATAACAAGGAAATAGCATGTCATCGGTGTGCTATGTCTGAGTGGATGCTCCAAGAGTATGTGAGGATGGCTGGATATGAAACGAGGACCACTTAGTTCACTTCAATACCAACACTCTTTTCCCTTTATTAATCTACTTCCCACAAACCTAATTTAAAGTTGCTGTTTACATTGACCTGAATTTCTGTATCATGTTTCAAAGCCTAAATCTAGATTTACAAGGCAGCTGGTATTCTAGGCTGTGAAACATACTTTGAAAGAAAACAAAAAGGCTTTACGTACTTGACTCCATTGAAAACTAACCAGCCTGGCAGCTTTGGGGGTCCTGAAGTATGGCAATTTACAGGGAGTGAAAGCGTCCTATACAACTACAAAATTCAGAGGATGTCTTATAGTACAGAAACAAAGGGTAACAACTCCAGTTACAGTTTGGACAGTGAAATAAAATTAACATGTTTACTAAACTCTTACTAGGAGCTCTTAACAAAAAGGATTTAAAAATGGTATTTAAATATTAATTGTTAAAAATACCCTGAAAATCATTTTGATAGATTAACATTTCCTGAAAAAATGAAATACACTTTGCACTTCATGCTTCAGTCAGGCTGCGCTACTTCTGTACTTGTTTCGAGGCCTGGCACATCTTTTTCCTTCTACCTTGAACACTTTCATCTCAAACCATTTCTCACTCCTCTGAGGTGATTCCCAAACATGGTGCCCTTTATTTTTCCTTCAGAACATTAATTCTGCTACAGGGTAATTGCTTTATTGTTCTGCATCCTGTACTGGCCTTTAAGCTTTACATGGGCAAGGACTCTGCACGTTGTTCATGGTGTCACCCCCAGTTAATCAAGAAAGTATCTGCTGAATAAATGAGAAGTCCTAAAACAAAAGTTATTAATCTGCTGATTTATATATTGCTAACTCACAGCATTGGCTTAAATAGAAGTTTTCTAGCTTCGAATTTGTTACTAATAATACTTTGTGCTTCATATCCAGGGATCCTGATCATGATAAACTATATTCATTAATAAATTTTCAAATCTTTACTAATAAGCCACAAGTGACCAAGTCTGTTTGTATATAACTTATAGTGAATATAGTTTCATTCTTAATTTTATGTAGATCAGTTGTTTGATAACAAATCTTTACTGTATTGCAGTATGTCCTCAATGAATCAAATTTTGATTATGTATTATTAAATTATCATACTCTTAAAAATTTGAATTGAATTTGTGCCACTTGTTTTAGATGCTTAAATACAACAGTATCAGGGAAATATAGTAATGCTTTTCAAAGGCTAGTTGTTCTTAAAAAAAAAAAAAATTCAGTAGTGTTTTAAAAGGAAAACAGGCACAGTTGTGCATACACAATACCAGCACTTGGAAGACTAAGGCAGGCAGATGAACCACTGTGAGTTCAAGGTCAGCTTGGACTACATACATGACTTCAAGACCAGCCTACACTACATAGCAAGATTCTGTCTCAAAAAACCCCAAATCCTAAAAAAGTAGCTGGGCCTGGTGGCACACACCTGCAATCTCAGCACTTGGGTGGGGGATGAATCAGGAAGAGTGCTGAGAGTCTGAAGTCAGCTTGGACTATATAGTGAGACTCTGTCTCAAAATAAAAAAATACATAAAAAAAGAAAAAAAAAACCCTAAAAAGTAACCCATTAAAACATCATATTGAAGTCATCTGGTTCCTTTTGGACAAGGTACAAATGATACAATTGCATTTCCGTTCATGGATGCGTTCAAAAACATGATTTTCTTCACAAAAAAGACTTATGCCTTGTAATTTTTTTTTTTTTTTTTTTTTTTTTGGTGGAACTGGGGATTGAACTCAGGCCCTTGCGCTTGCCAGGCAAGTGCTTATTCTACTGAGCTATCTCCCCGGCCCTACAATTCTTTTTTAAACCAAAAGTTGAAATCAAATTTTAACTTTAGTCTTTGGCTATTAATTATACCTAATAAATGAGTCACTGATATCAATTCACAATAGATTTATTTTACATAAAAGAAAAACTTTCAGTTAATGAAAAATTCAGTAGAAAACAGTTCTTCTGCTTTAAGTTGGGGCTCAAAAGTAGAAGCAGCTTATTAGTGAAATCTCAGTAGAAAGAGAATTTTATAAGAAAACATTCTTGGCATGAAAGCGCTAACAAAATCTTAATGAAATATTTACCATGCAACTTTATTGGCAGAAGGGCTGGTTTCTGATGGCTGGTTTTTGTTTTCCAGTCTTTTAGGACATTACCATGGAAGATACTTAAACCTGCTTTATTTAGAGTTATATATAAATACGACGTCATGATGAGCAGGTTTTTCATAGTCCACCTATTCAGTTGAGCAGTTCTAGGTAGGTAATTGGCACTTTACCCTTCTGATTTCCCCTTTCCCCCATTAGCCAGTCTGAATCCATTCCAACGACACTGAACACAGTGATCACCTACAAAGTAAGATATTTCAAGTCATTAATTATATTAAAAAATAAACACATAACAAACAAATTGGATTAAACTATTCATTGTTGAAAACTTTAAACATTATCGAGCTTATATATCAAGTTATTTAGTGGTTAAAAGTTTAAAATATTTCTGTGATGTTCAATTACATTAAAGAATAATAATTAGATTTAATAAAATAGCAATATAATCATCTGAAATCCATGCAACATTCCTGGCAAAGCCTAAATAAGAGGCTGCAGCTTGCTTTGCAGATGACCATTCAGAAGGTCTGCCAACTCACGACATACTTCTCACACCCGCACTGTTTACCTCATCTGCCAGCAGGGACAACTCAGTACTGTTTGCAGCATCGTAGTCATAGAGAACCCTGGCCTTCCTGCTGCCACTTGACTCCTTGAGGTCAGTGACATTGGAAGGAGGGGTGATTCCTAGGCCGCTGGGTGAAGCCATGGCCGAAGAGCCAACTACATTTGACAAAGTAGACGGCACTGGAGTCCCAGAAGTCTGATTGTTGTTCGAAAGATAATTGGATGGAAAACTGTTGAGAAGAAAACAGCTGGTTAGCTACTTCCTTGATGCTACCACTTGGTGGCACTATTTGCCTTTTTCCAATTTCTGCATTGAAAGATTAACAGATGCTAATAATTTGCTAATATTTACTGACAAACTATGCTATATAGTTTCTACTTTCCTCTTGGCCCAATTCAGGTGTTATTCAGATATAAATCTTTGCAAACTTGTTTTAAAGTTTTCCTCTTTATGACAGTGATTTAAACTAAAAAACAAAAACCAAAAACAAAAGCCAAAAACAAAGCATAATGGCTGTTCCCCGGCAGTAAAAATTGGCTTATCCTTAAAACAACTGCCAAAACCTTCTATTAGTATATTTAATTAATTTCTTTTCCTTTTTAATAAATTAAAAAAATCAGCAAAAAACCATTTAAATATTACATATTACTGCTAAGAGTGAGGATTTCTTAATGACTAAAAAGGAACCTGAAAAGGAACTCTAATGATCAAACTTGCTTTGAGGTTTTTAGTTATTCTTAATTCCTGATCAGACTTAATTTAGGACAGTTTTAGAATCTTATTGGAAGATTTAATTCATTTTATCTTATTTTTTATGTTTTAGTACTGGGTCTACAGGGTCTCACAATGTAGATCAGACTCACAGTGATTCTCCTGTTTTCAGCCTCCCAAGCACTGGGATTATAAGTGTGCACCACCACGCCCAGTCTCAATCTCTGTCTCAGCATGCCCAGGAGGTGGGGCCAGCACCGCATGATGGGGATCGAACCCTGGCCGCTGCACTCTGCCTAAGCAGGCACTTCAGTTCACTGAGCTATCTGGCTGATGCTACTTCATTTTATATAAATTCTTTTAGGCAGTTAAAAAAAATCCCTCAGACAAATCCCAAATTATAACCTGGCAATTCACTGATTCTGATATTTAAACTGGTTCCTCAAGTTTGCTGTATTACTTAAAATAGTTATAATAACATGGGGATTATAGTGGTATTCTGCTTTCAGGTATGAATACCACTAATGAAAATCAAATGCAATGGTATATTGGTTCAAGAACTTAATTCTTTCCATGAGTCTGGTCTCAGAATAACTAGAAGCTTCAACTCATTTTTAAGATCTAAACTTGCCTTGTGCCTCATTTTGTTCTAGGTCTAGTGTTTTTTTTTTTTTCAGAACTGAGGATTGAACTCAGGCCCTTGCACTTGCCTGGCAAGCACTTATTATTCTACTGAGCCATCTCCCCAGCTCCGCCTAGGTCTAGTTTTGAAGGACTAATATGCATACAATGTCACCAATTGACTTTTTAAATATCTTATTCCTTTAAACAATATTCTTCCTTCAAATGGCAGATATCATTCCTATTTTAATCATTATATAAATTTAAACTCCTTATAATTAACTCTTACGCCCATTCAGGGCATGAGCCTGCCTAAATCCTTTAGCTTCGTCTAGTACTCCGTATTCTTACCTTCACCAATTATGATCTGACTAGAAGAGCTACGTACCATCAGTTGCCTGAACCTGTCACTCTCTTTCCTCCAGAATTTTTACAAACATTTTTTAATTTACGGGGAATATCCAACCTACCCTTTCCTTGTCGAGCTATGGCTTGTATCCCTACTAGACTTTAAATGTTGTCAAAGCAGAGATCATTATCTGCCCTGTTATTTCCCATACTGCCTTACAATGTGAGCTACATAAGGGTATAAACGTTTTGCCTGTTTTGTTTGCTGATGTAACTCCAGAATATAAAATGACTGAGCTATGCATTTTATATATTGTCATTTGCTTTAAAGTATATTACCAAAGTCAGAACAATTGTGTCAGTAGGATCAAGTTCTTACAGAATATTCCAAAACTTTTCTTCCTCTTTACTGAGTAAATATGTACAGTGATACCTTGGTTGATGAGCTTGATTCTCTCCATGACTCTGGTTACAAACTGAGTTGGATGAGAACCAAATCAAATTCAATGGTTAGGTTCAATGTTGACCTTACAGGGAAATTTGATTTGGTTCTGGTCCAATGTTATTTGCAAGCAGAATCACGGAGAGAATCAAGTTCGTGAACCATGGCACCGTTGTAATCGATACATACAAACAAATTAACTTTTAAGGGCAGTTATGTGTGACCAAAGGCAAAAAAAAAGTATGCAGTAGCAAAAGAAATGTAAAACCTCACTATAAGCTTTCTTTATGTTACTAAAAAAATATGGACTTACATTATCTTACTGCTTTTAATATCTTCCTGAGCCAGAAAAGCTGTTTCATCTCAGAAGATTGATACATTCATCAAAAACAATTCAATTTTTTGCAAGCACAAAGGCTCCAATTCTTCCAACTACCCTTGTTAACAGTCCACATGTAAACACCAGAGTTTATTTCTTATCTAAAACTTTAGGGGCTGCAGAGACAAGATAGCTCGGGTCTAAGTGCCTGCCTGGCAAGTGCAAGGACCCAGTTCGATCCCTGGTACCACAAGCCATGCTGGCCCTGGAACCCCAGGCACTCCATGCCTGTCAACAAAATGGGGCATGGTGGTGCATGCCTGTAATCTCAGCACTGAGAAGACTGAGACAGGAGGATCACTACGAGTCCAAGTTGTGTAGTGAGACCGTGTACCAAATGAATGAATGATGAAAAAAACCCCAAAAACTTCAATATGTGGAATGGAAATTACTACCTTCCCAGTTGTTTCTGGAGATCTAGCATGTATTGGTAGCACTGTGCATAGTAAGTCATCTGGGCTTCTACAAAGTCATTCAGACAGCGAAGATGATGAGCCTGTAAAGGAAAGTTAGAGTCAATTTTCAGCTTTCAAAATGGTATGCTAGGGCTGGTGAGATGGCTCAGTGGTCTAAAGCACCTACTTGGAACAAGCTTGGGAAAGCACAGGGACCGCGGTTCGATCCCCCAGCACCACATGCCAGCCCACCCCGCCCCCTGGTGGGCTGGGCTGGCCACACACACACACACACACACACACACAATAAATAAATAAATGTTTAAAAAAATGGTATGCTAAGAGGGCACAAACTACAACACTATAATGAAGAAGAATCATGTACCTGGCATCTTACTACAAGGCTCGTTAAGACTGACCTTGGTGAGCAGTACAACAAATTTTGTTTAGCCAATGAACGCCTGGGATAAGTAGCTGAGATACAAGCAGACACTTAAAATGTTTTTCCACATATCTTTGGTTCCAGATGAATTTTCGATGAATGAATACTCACATGTGTACTGCTGATTCCCTCTAGCAGAAGTCTGGTAATCTCAGCCTGACGATCAAACTCACTTTGAGTTATTCTTAATTCCTGTTCAGACTTAAATTAGGACATAGTTTTAGAATCTTACTGGAAGACTTAGCTCATTATATATAAATTGTTTTAGGCAGTTAAAAAAATCCCTCAAGCAAATCCCAAATTACAATCTGGCAATTCCCTGATTCTGACATTTAAGCTGCTCACTTAGGTTTGCTGCACTAGTCATCATCTAAAGAAGTGATTCCTTACCAGCACTTGATTCAAAAGGATGTGTCAATGCCAGAGCTTAATGGAACACTCATATGAGCCTCAAAAACCTATTATGGGCAGTTCAGATATCAAGAGTACCACAGTTTCACAAGTATAATGTTATTCTTAAAAATTCTCAATTATTACTATAGTTTTAAAACAAGAATCCTCAATTTCAGACACAAGAAACTTCATAGAGTAAAGCCCTAGAATTTCTACTTTTGTTTAGTTACCAACACTTGCTAAGGAAAGTTCTTCAGTTCCTTCAAATACTTCTTTGCCCTAAATTTTACATGTCTTTCTTTTACATTTTCTTTCTAAACTATACGGCTTTAAAAGTTTTCTTAGAAGTTATGACTGACCTTCAATCAGTGTAATGATGGTAAACTGGTTTTCAAAGGGGAAAAAACCCCACTTCTAACTAACATTCAGATTTTCATGATAAAATAATACTGCCATGGCTGATTTCAGATTAGCAATGTCAAGTAACTGACTGTGGAGTTAAATGGGAAGAGAGGTATATAATATGATATCACCACTGGTTTTGAACATCCGTTCCATTTAGTGCTGGGATAAAATAGTTCAGCAAAAAATTAACAAGCTCTAAAAACAGTAAAGACTGGAATAAAACATCTTAAAACTTTTAATGAGAGGTTGCTGACAAAGTGGAGAGGAAAAAAAACAAAATAAAACCTCATTCAGCTCATTCAAAATAACTCCCCCAGGGCCAGGGAGATAGCTCAGCAGAATTAAGTGCTTGCCTGGCAAGCACAAGGGCCTGAGTTCAAACCCCGGTTCTGCAAAAAAAAAAAAAAAAAAAAAAAAAAAAAAAAAAAAAAAAAACCAAACTCCACAAAGGTCGAAGTTCCTTTTCTTGAAAACAACAACAAAATAAACCCCCCAAAACTGAAAATAACTCCCCCTTTTGTTACCTTTGGTTAACAAGGCTGTGATTTTTTAACTCCTCTCTTAGCATAAGTAGCTTTTTCTCCATGTAAATACTATTTACAACATTTTAAAAATTAGGTTTTAATGCTAAAAGCACTGAATAAAAATGAAATTAATCATTTTTTAGGACCAACAAGATCTGAATTATAATGTCATATTTCATGCTTTATCTCCATTTCCTTCACCTTTGGATGTCAATAGTTAACCTAGTGAGCTGGTCAAGAAAGGAGCACAAGGCAGGTAGATTTGATATGATATATAATGGTATATGATATGAGATGATATGACATATGATATGTGATATAATACCCCAATGGCAAAAGGCCTGGGAAAAGGGACTAAAAATTGACTGCTAGATTGGATTTATGAACATGAGCTTCAACTGTTCAGTAAAAAAGCACTAAAGTTAAATTTGAGTAAAACAAAAATACTTAAGCAAGGTTAAAGTCAGCTTCTCTGGATGCTAGAATGAAGCAGAGAAAAAGGTCTGAGAAGAATCAACAGTCTTCGCAAAGAAAGCATCAGGAAAACCAATCACTTTAGTGTCACCTTTGCACTGTCTACCCTGCTATGTGGTTGAATACAAAAATGACTTTAGCCGGGGAGACGGCTCAGTAGGATAAGTGCTTGTCTGGCAAGCGCAAAGGTCTGAATTCAAATCCCTGGTTCCGCAAAAAAAAAAAAAAAAAAAAAAAAAAAGACTTTAACAGAAGAATTTGCAGCAAATCAAAAGAAGTTCATGAGTAAAGTAGGCTGGTCTCTCTGTAAAAGTTCCATTCAATTTAATGGCTATTAGTAGAAATGGCAAAAAAGGCCAATATGGCTAAAACTCTCAACACAATGTAGATGAGTAAGTATGCAGCAGGTAGAAGAGAGCAGGAAGCTTGAGACTGTAGTGGAAATAAGGTTTAATGCTAAAAGCACTCAATAAAAATGAAATTAAATAATCTCAATAAGGACAAGAAAAAAAAGGACAAGAAGTCAGCCATCTAGATTTGGATAAAATTCAATATTTCAGTAGATGTTTGGGGGTGGCTATGAACACAGCTGCAGGTCCCAAGTCAGCTCTTTTTCTGACAGATGCAACTGAGCATAATTAATCTGACAAGCTAAGGAAATTTAAGTTAGGTTCATCAGGAAATAAATGATATATATTGGAAAGATAGATGAGGAAGGCTTATTGTTTATTTGTGGTGCTGGTAACCAAACCCAGGGCTTTGAACATAGCAGGCAAGTGCTCTGCCACAGAGCCCTAACCCTGAGAAAGACATAAAACAATGAATTAAACAGCTGATATTCTGTCCTCCAGAATATCTTATTCCCTAATTTAACTTTGTAACTTAGGTATAACTTCTAGGGAAAAGAGCTACTAAGAATTAGTGTTACTGGACTAGTTGATTTTGACTAGATAACAATATAACATTAAGTAAACAATAAGCATTAAAGATGTAATTTGGAAAATGTGCAATAATTTATTGTTCTTTGATAACAGGATTGTAAATCTATAAGAGAAATTTTGGTCAGTAATCTTGACTTACATCAATTATAGGCTTAAATATTACAATATTTCAGGAATACGAAGTTTTAAAGTTTACAGATTTTTTAAATTATAAAAAAAAACTATATAGGGCCAGGGAGATAGCTCAGTGGAATAAGTGCTTGCCTGGCAAGCACAAGGTCCTCAGTTCGATCCCTGGTACCGCAAAAAAGCAAAACAAAATTACAGAAGAAAAAACATCAAATCCATTTTTATGTATTTTCCTAATACTTTATATATCTCTACAATATAAACGTTTCATTATTTTCTTCCTATTTATTATACTGATTATTTCCCAACTTGTAGAAGGTGCAGAATCAAGCCAGAAAGTATTCAGTGTAAATGTATGTCAACTAAAGGGAAGACATCTGGTTTTTTTTTGTTCAATTTACATTCTCTCCCTTATAGCTCTGTCCTCTTTTCATACTTGAGGTTCAGGAAGAAGTAAGAAACCAGAGAAGAACCATGTAATAAGTTAATGAAAATATTTCAGAGGGGAATAAGAGTCTAGGTCAAGAATTATACTTAAAAAAAAAAATTATACTAGATATCCAAGTTGTAGGGTCAATGGCTCTGTAACTATGCATGAAACAAGACTATACAAATAGCCATCCTATGATGTTGGAAAATAGTTCAAAGTCTGTAAGGGTATTTAAAGTCAGGGGCCACAAATACCACTTGCCCTCAAACTCCAGCATCACCCATTTGGAAGTCAGGTTTTGCCTTAGAACTGGAGAATAAATGAAAAGACTTCCAAAGAATTAAAGTAGCATTGGAAGGAAGTCTGCACTGAAGCTTCAATTTTATTCTTTACAGATTCTTGCTTTATTATTTCATATTCCAGCCCAGAAATTGGAAATGGTAACATAGCAGAGAGACTGCTAGCAGTCTGATACAAAAGGAAAACAACAAAAACAATGGATCCAATTGTTGCATAATACAATAATGGATATTCAGAATAATGACAACTATAAAATTAAGTATGTGCTATACAGCATTAAAGTACATTTTTCTGCTCAAGTGACAAAAAATAGCTTTAGTGGTAAAGCTCCAGTTATTTAATGATATTAACTATGCCACATTTGACAATCTGTCATTTAAAAAAATTATCAATGAATAAATCACATATTTAATCTGTTTCCTATGAAGGCACTGACAATTACTACTTGATTAACAGGTATCTAGGATTTAGCATATGTGCAAATGTTACTACATAAATGGCAATTAAATTGTCTTATAAGTCTGTTATGTAATAATTTACTTACTTTTGTTACTTCCTCTGCCCAAATCTAGCCAGCATTAAAAAGTAGAGAAAAGTATACAGCATGAAAGAAAGTGGGGATTTAACATTTTCTTCAACTTAGGTCAGACAAATACAAGAATTCTAATTCAAAGGACATAGTCTGCTTTCTCCAGAATTGTATTAACAGGTTAAACGTTGTAGTAACTGAATCAGTGCAGTTTAACATATTCAATATTGTCAAAATAGTGCCTTTTGTATATATCAATACTATCAGTTTTAAAATATGCTAATTTTATAAGCTAATAATATTTTTCAAAAAATGGGAATACTTAAATTGTTATGTTCTAGTTTTCTCATCCGTAAAATGAGAGTTTTGGGTGGGGTAAATAAATTCTAATTCAAGTATAAATTCTAGAATTCTAGTACATAAAAACAAATCAAGAATAAAAACACAACAAATGTAGTTGATAAAGCTGTTTTCTTGGGAGAAAAGAATAAATTTGAAATATAATTTAAAATTATCATAGTTAAATATATCTTACTATAAACAGATGATAGGAGTAGTAAAACAACACTTGGTGAAGGAAATAAAATCCTGCTAACCATTTATGATATTTTACCTAAGACAAAAGAAAATCTACGTTTTGTACACTAAATAAGCAATGACTAATACTTTTTATTTATCTATACATAGGACAATGGAAATAAATGCATTCTCTTGCTAAGAAAAGCCCTAACTTAGCTAGGACTTCAATAATGATAGATTAAAAAATAAAGTTTATTTTTAGTTCAATGGTAATGGAATAAAAGTCAATTAATTGCCAATTATTAATTATACTGAAGGTTTCTTGTCACTTAGTGGAAGTAAAGTATCTATGAGTACCAAGTGCTACCAAGTTTTATCTGGTAACATAACAATCTATCTTGCTATGCTTATATTTCATTAAAATTAAAAACCTTTAATGTTAAAAATTTCTTCAAGCAGCTCAAAATACACTAGCTATGCTTTTATAATTTTCTTTTTAAATGTATTTAGTACAAGGTCTACAAGGTCTCACCACACAGATTGGACTCGTAGTGATC